GCTCATTATTTATTTATTTTTTTATTGTAGAGATGAGGTCTCACCAATTTGCCCAGGTGGGTTTCAAACCCGCAGGCTCAGGCAATTCACTCACCTCAGCCTCCCAAAGGCGCGGGATTACAGGCTGAGCCACCGAGCCCGGCAGCCTTGAGTTTAGTTCTCTACTCTTACTCTTGTATATTCGCTCTTAATTTAGCTTTGTTATCTTTTTTTTTTTTTGAGTTGGCATCTCACTTTGTCGCCCAGACTGGAGTGCAGTGGCACGCTCCCGGCCACCGCAGCCTCGATCTACTGGGCTCGGCGATCCTTCTACCTCAGCCTTCCAAGTAGCTGGAACTACAGGTGCGTGCTACCGTGCCTGGCTAATTTTTTGATTTGTTGTAGAGATGAGGTCTCGCCAGGTTGCCCAGGCGGGTCTCAAACCCGCAGGCTCAGGCAGTCCACTCACCTCAGCCTCCCAAAGCGCGGGATTCCAGACTGAGCCACAGAACTCGGCCTTTTTTTGAGTAGGAATCTCACTCTGTTGCCCAGGCTCGAGTGCAGTGGCATGATCATGGTCACCGCAGCCTTGACTTGCTGGGCTCAGGAGATTCTTCCGCCTCAGCCTTTCATGTAGCTGGAACTACAGGTGTGGGCTACCACACCCGGCTTTTTTTTTTTTTTTTTTTTTTTTGACTTAATAGAGATGAGGTCTCACCAGGTTGCTCAGGCTGGTCTTGAACCCCTAAGCTTAGAGCAATCCTCTCGCCTCGGCCTCCCAAAATGCTGGGATTACAGGCTTGAGCCACTATGCCTGGCTTGCTATTCTTTTAACTGGTATGTCTTCCTTAACTAAAGTAAGCACGCTATAGACAGATACTATATCTTATTCATCTTTTTGTTTTTGGGATCCAGAGATTCTTGCATATAGGAACACAGTAAATATTTGGTGATGCGAGTGAATGAATGAATCAAATAAAATCCCTAAGATACAGTGAATGGCTTTTACACTTCCCTCTAGTGTCTGATAAAGAAAGTGTGGCCAGTTTAGGATAAAAATCAAAACCCAACTACTACTGCTAAAGAACATAGCTTGTTACATTAAGCCTACTACTTGGCGAGACCTCATCTCTACAACAAATCAAAAATGAGCCGGGTGTGGTAGTAGGCGCCTGTAGTTCCAGCTACTTGGAAGGCTGAGGCGGAAGGATCGCCAGAGCCCAGCAGGCCGTGGCTGCGGTGGCCGGGAATGGCCACTGCACTCTAGTCTGGGCGACAGAGTGAGACTCCAA